AATGATCGCAGTCGAAATCGTCGATTCCTGGCTCTCCAACGGTGGTCGCCGGTGCATCGCGTGGGCGCTTCGCCCCTCCTCGCCTTCAGACTCGATACGAAATTTTACTCCCGGATTTTCGAGGGAGCAGATTTTTTGTGGATAGATGCTCCCGCTCGCCCGACGTTTGCGTATTTTATCGGCAATACTTAATCTTACCGGCTCAGCGACGGTAGCCGCTCTTGCCATGACTAGCTGTGATGGCCTTTCTCACAAACCCTGATATAAAATATTCGAAGTACTATCTTACAGGGGTGCTCACTACAACGTTTACCAAACACAATTGTACTCTCGGTCAAAGCAGTCATTCAAGTTGTTTCTTGAAAATCCTCAAATAAGGGCTTACAAACAAAGTAGTTGTGCGCCAATTATTTCCCTAGCAAAGTGGTACGCTGGCAAAGCGCCAACCAGCCAGCAAAAGACCGCTGGTTACCACCTCTAGCCCACCACTCGATTCTGTATTTGCCCACCTTTCAGACACCACACATCGTATCGCATCGCTTCCATCATGGCCAAGCACAATCGTCAGAGTATTATCCACGTTGTCCCGAGGCACATCCTTCCGCCTCAAAGTAAGCCAAGAGCTGCAAGCGTAACAGCGCCAAGAAACGCGTCCTCGATGCTCGTTCCGGTAGAAGGGATCAAATGGTTCTTGTTATCTAAGCCTTAGATTGATACATAATTGCGAGATGGCACACAAGATCAAGTCAAAAGTACTGTGTTTCATTAGCCAATGAAACGTGTAAGAAACAAGCAAGCCCCTTCGCAAATTCGTGCTCCCCCGTCAAAACGCATTTTGACTTCGAGCACTACAATCGCAGGAGAATTGCTCTCGAGTCTTTTTACTCCGCCTATTTTTGCGGGAGCAGCTCCCTGTGTGCTCGTCCGAGGCTCGACAATAGGTTCACGTTTCTTTTTGTCTAACCCTTGGGTCACAGCTTCAACTTCTTAGGTTTCGTGCTCGCGATCCTATTTTTTCGACTAGTCAATAATTACATTATCGGCGACGATGTACTCATCCACAAAAGCCGCCTTGTATTCTTAAGAGAACCATGAATGTATTTTGAATGTTTTGCTACGGCATATTACAGCGCGTCATGGTCACCACAATACAAGACCAGTTTAAAAAAGCTAACACTTATAGCTGGTGTGTATGTATTTTTGCTATTTCAGAAATAAGATATCAGAAGCAGTTAAAGAGTTAGTTGTAGCGCTTAAATAAGTAAATATAATTGCTGTGCGTGGTGCTTCACGTTTCTTTCGTAGTACAGTAAGCTGTATTACACATAAAAGTCGTTTTAGCAGGACATAATATTCAGTTAATTTCTCAACCTGTATAATTACCGCATTTAAAAATAGGTATGGGTGGGGATTGATATTATTAGCTTGTGCGATTGGTGATGGAAAGGTAAACTGGGATAGTCTGGTGCTACGATAAGGACCTGCATTAGAGCGAGGGAGGTCGCTGCTCCCTCGACCCCGCCCTTCATTTTGAAACAAGCACGATACAACGAGCAGCAAAGAAGTCATTTACGAAGTTCTAGCGCATGCTACGAGCCACTTGATGAAATGTGCTCTTTCCAGCAACTATGTACCGCTAGCATCGCCATGTCAAACCCGTGGTAAAAAGACGCTTAGATGCCGGCCACCGGCTGCCAAGGCATCGACGGCTTTGTTGGTGGACTGTAAGTAATGCTGGGCTGCGTCATACCAGTATCGGATTCTATGTTGCACAATGCGACAAGAAGAAGTGATGCTTTTAGGTCGTAAGGTCTGCCTTTTTCGTCTCCCTGATCTGGAGAGCTTTCCGCCGCTCCTTCCGCCGACCCATCCTGTCTACCCTGCAATCAGAAATTCAGCTTACCCTCACGTCGTCCCCAAGTACCCCTACTACCAATCAGGCAGCAGCCCTTCCGCCGCTGTCACCAGCTCCCTAGGGTATTTGGACGAGCAAGCAGATGCCCGTCATGAAGGACCACTTGTTGAGCAAATTGACGTGTGTGTGAGCATTTCCTTCGCTCACCACTCTCTTAACGGTGTGCAGTCCATCGTAAAAACTATTTATCGAAAAACTACGATAAGTGGTGCCAACAACAAGGCATTATAGCTAGCCTTTGCAACAGGCTTAAACACGCACGTCCCCACAGGAAATATGATTATTTATCATGACGAGACGAGCTTCAAATATTACCTTTCCCTTAACCAAGGCTAGGCGTGCGTGGTGGTGACATTGCCGTCCTGGTAGTGACGTTGCCATCCTGGTGTGACATTGCCATTGTCCAAGGGCAACAATCTACATGTGTCGTGCGGTGTATCGCCTGGCCCAACACTGGTACTACTACGCAAGCATGATGGCCCCGTGTAAAAGAAGGAGAATGCGAAGGGCGCGGCTGATCGGTTTGTCGCCGCTCTGAGCACGGACGAGTACAAGGAGTGATGTGTGGGTAAGGGTCATCATATGTACTGATAATGCATCTGCTCACAGTCAGACTGAGATAAGCAGCTTGTCGCCAACGGCATCGTCAATGGCAACAAGCTGGTCGTTCCACGCCTGACCACTTATAACCCGATGTAAAGTGGCATTGAGGGCCGTTTTAGTGCGCTCTAATCGCACATGAAGACGACGCAGCGTCGTGAGTTTCTTTGTTTGGCGATTACGATAGATGACTGCGCACATAATGTCTTTGATGAAAGAAGTTGTCGACTCTAGCAAACACATTCTGTCCCAACGTTTTGTGTGGCGTATAGAGTACCACTGTTTCAATGCCACTTTTTGTGCGGAGCGAGGTGAAGACTTTTCGCTAGGTAAGTAGTTTTAATAAACCACTTTGCTTGGTAAAAATAAACGAAACCGTTGAAGGCCAGGATTATTAGTACTGTTTTGTACAGAATTCACATCCTGGAAATGTCCAGGATCGAAGAAAAAAAAAACGCATAAATTTCAGCCCACTTAATTCCGATTTTGATCACTTAATTCCGAGTTGAGGGAAAAACGAAACTACGTTTACTTGCGGTTGTACAGGCAAAATGGGTCGAGCTGCTGGCGAAGACGTCGTGGAAGCTCCGGAAGCAAGCCAAGAGGCCTCGCAAGCATCTGAAGGTACCGAGGTGCGTGGGGCGTTGGTATGTGGAGGTTCTGGTGGTCTTGAAGAGGATAAAGAAGCCTCAAGAAGCGTCCAAAGCGGTGGTGACGCAGCAAGCGGCGAGTCGCGGGCATTGACTGCTGATGACGACAAAAAATCAGGTAGCGACGACATGGAGAGAGATAGGGGGGGCGTCTGGCACGCCAAGTGGTGATAGCTTCGAGAGGGATGAGACACCTGGTTTAGAATTGGCACCTGAAGGAACTGGTGTCGGTGAAGAGGCTATTTCTCGTGGCTATTCTGTGAATGTCGAGCCTCCGGCTGTGTGGCACTAGTCGTGGGATGACTGGGTGCAGTACTTCACACAGTACTGTGAGAGTTCACGACAGGTTTTACCTGTGAAAGAGACCATGTCTCGTGCTGAGCGGATCAAATGGCTGCAGAAGACTAAGAAAGCAGATGACGACTCTATTCTGCTGCCAGAAACGTGCGATCCCTACCAGCGAGTGTGCATCTGCACTCATGGCTGGAAGAAACGAAATTTGCGAAGCGAAGTAACGCGGCCTCGTCAGCACATTCGCTTGACAGATTGTCCATTCGCTTTGTGGTTTAATGGAATGTAGCGCGAGGGCAACTACAAGTGAAGAATGGGAGTCTTCACCCATAACCACCAAGTTTCCAGCAGGGCCTATGCAGCATATCCTGTTTCCCGTGGAGTTCTCGTTCCGGTTGTAGGTGCTCGTGTGGAAGGAATGCTGTATGTGGGGGCGAAGCGCTCTCGTATTTACGACTTCTTGCTGGAGCACGACCAGAACGTCACTCAGGTTGACGTGGACAATCTCGTTCGCGAACACACGGCTCCCGCTTCTCAGCAGGACGATAACGAGGCGACGGCCCAGGCAATTGCTTCTTTCGCTGCAGCAGACCCCAAGAATGTATCCACGGTGTCCGAAACGGATGCGGGTGAAACAGGCGTTATTTCGTTGGCTACAGCACACATGCGCCGTATCTACGGTCGTTTCAGCGAGGTTCATCTAGTAGACTGCAGTCACAAGATCAACCGGTGAGTGGTTTTGTTCGTTATATCCAGGATTTTATTTGTACTACCAGGATTTTCCCATGATTTCTATTTTTGGATTGTACATGGGTTAGTATCCAGGATTAAATCCGGGATTTTTTTGAGATGATATCCATGATGTTTTATCAGATTTTATGCAGGATTTTTCAGTATTACATCCAGAATTTTTCCAGGATACTAATTTGTATTTGTTTTGTGCACTGACAGATACAATTACCAGCTCCTGACATTCATGGGTATGATTGAATGGCGAAGGAGCAGTCGTGCAGCAGTCACACATTGAAGCTAATGGAGACTGGCACATGGAGCGTTGGATTGCGCACTGAAAACGTTCCCACCCCACTCGGATCCACTTGCTCCGCGTGGTCGTGGTGGATAAAGAGTTGAACAAAATTCGCGTTCTGAACACAAATTTTCCGGAAGCCAGGATCTTGATTTGTCACTTTCACGTGATAACGTACCTGAAAGAGATGCGTTCGAAGCCGGAATGCGGTAAGATATCTTCTGAAGATGCGAGCCAAATCGACTCAGCGGTGCATAAGATGGTTATGCTGGAAATGAAGATGTGTACGCAGCAACTAACCGTTCGCTTGAAGGGATTTCTGATCGTTTTGATTAAATACGGTTTTTTCGCTTACTTCCAGAAAAATTGGGATTCCTGCAAAGACCGCTGGGTGTATTACAGACAACGACGGTGAAATTCGCCACCCTCTGAACGCCATCCTCCATAGTAGTTCTTTTTTTGTTTTCGCGACAGGAAAATCCGTCGCACATTTTTATTGGTAGATAAAACGAATTAATTAGCAAAAAGCAAAGTTGAAAACCTCAACGTCTAGTGGCTGGCAGGCCGCTGTACTGTTGGGCGGTAGCTGGCAAACCAGGGCCGACGTTGTCTCGACAACAACATCAAGTCCTTCTTTTGAAACATGTGCGTCGAAGTTATCGAGTATAAGCACTGATAGTGCCTCGATCTCGAACTTGAGCAGCTCTCGTACATATATCGCCCACACTTTGGCATCCATAAAGCTGCTCTCCTGCACTGAGTATACATGACCAACCGGATGTGTTAGTAGCTCCACGACTATCACACTATTTAATAAAGCAATTATATAAAATCAGCAAAATCAAAAGATATTACCGTGCTGCAAACCGCTGACATAGTCTCATAAACGCACTTAGACCCTTCTCATCGCTTTCCTTACCAGCAAGATACGTTTGAAGCCATCGCGTTTGCTGCTCTTTGAAATATTGAATAAGTAAATCTGTACAAATACTAAGCAACAAGCGGTTTTAGGTCACAATGTAGAAAAAAAAAAAAAGAAGACGGTTTACCCATTCTTCTCGTCGCACATCCTTCATAAAGGTTACCAAATCGTGAGAGAAGTGTATTAACGGCGCTGCACTCTGGCCCTTCAAGGTTTTGCTGGTTTGGGCACCCGCAAAGTCTTGGATGTTCTCTTTATCGTCTAGCCAGTCGCGAAGAGTCGTGCGAGGGATATTTAGTCTCTTTGATGCGGCTTGGCAGCTTCCTAACGCCTCAGCAGTCGCGATTGCTTCGCGCTTGGTTAGAATTGTATAGGAGCGCTGAGGCGCCATTTCCAGAGTGATAGAAATTCTAACTATATGTGTTATGCTACCCGTAGGAACCAGTCGATTCAATTTACTCTATCATTGGTTAAAATCAAAACTTGTTCAAATCTTTTATTTTGACTTCAAGTGTTCGTGGCGGATTTGTATGGTATGGCGGATTTCACCGTCGTTGTCTGTACCTGCGCGCGTTCATTTACCTCACTTCAAGAACCATACGACCAACAGGTTGAATTTTTTTTTTGGTAAGCTGAAGGATGGAGTTGATGGTTTCATGACGATGGCGCAGAGCGTCAAAGCTCTGCTGGCATATGATCGCCGCAAACAGAACAAGTATCAGTACCGAATTGAGCTTATAGGTCAGTCAGTTCTAAAATTCAAATTACGATGAAGAGATGAGAGCGGTGCTACGCTTTACAACTCATTACGTGGCTGGACATATTGAGGGCCAATACGCCAAAGTTGTGGAGAAAGCGTCCAAGTACAAATTCGATCGTGATGATGAGTCCAACTCAGTATTCGTCCGTGGATTATTCTCTGAACACATATTGCAAGTCGACACCTGGCGTTGTAGCTGCGAGTTCGCAGTGTCCATGGGTCTCTTGTGTCACCATGCTGTAGTGTACCGCAAGTTCAAGTGAATTGCCGGGCCTATCATACTCTGGAACCGCATCGATGAAAGGTGAGAGCTAATTACTATCTGATCCAGGATTATATTGCATGTTTCATCCATGACTAATCCTGTACGTCTTCCGTGTTTTAGATGGACGACTTCTTCTCAACAACTGAAGAAGGTTAAGCAGTTCGCGTACGAGAAATTTATGAGTGGCGCGAGTGAATCACCTCGGAAGAAGTTGCGTACGCAGTCCGAGCGATACCGAGAAGCAGTGAGAACTACCCATCTGATTGCCAATGAGATGGCGGACATTGAAGACGAGGAGGAGTTTGATGAAATGTTAAAGTTCGTTCTGGCTCAGTGGCGCAACATCAGACAGAGGACAATGGCCACAATGCCATTAGAAACGTACGAAGAAACGCCGTGTATCACTAAAGAAGATTACTCACGTGAAGGTAAAGATTACGACGCTTTGGCTAAGAAGGCTAAAAAGGAATTCAACATTAGTACAAGCGAAGGAAAGAAAAGCAGCTCGGACGACCAGAGCGAAGCCCAGAGCTCTACCTGCTCAACGAAACAAGCCACATCGGTACGAATTCGTCTGATCCAAAGGCCAAAAAGGTTGGACGGACCGCCAAACTCAAACAGAAGACCGCCGCAGATGAGAAGAAAGACCGGAAGCGGTATGAGTCAAACAAAGCTGCTCGCCAACAGGCTGGCGAAGTCATGTTGCTTGGTCTAGTGGATTCACTGGACAGAGAAAAACCTGGACTTAACTAAACTCAAAGACGTCTATCTGGGATTATTGTGAAACACGGAGAAAGTGAGAAGAAGAAGCCCAAGGTCAAACTGATGCAAACCCGGTGTTGACTCTGGATCCGTTCTATCTACTCCCACCCAAGCTCCTCGACGTGTGTATAAAGGTGCTGCCTGTCTCCAACACGAAAGATACTGCAATCTCTCTCGAGGATTCTCAAGCTAGCCAACAATCAGTCGCAAGTAGTGATAAAGCATCCATAGAGACCGTGATTATCAAGGACATGGGCAATTTCTCGCGGAAACAGATTGAGACTTTCAAGAGAGTTCAAAACTTGAAGGACTTGGTAGCGATCGGCCTGGGCGCGATCAAGTGGATCGTGAACGTCGCTCTACCTACCCTCCCAGTCGAGTATCATGCTTTGACGCAACAAGTGGCGGATGAAGTAATGGCGGCTTACCCATACAAGCGTATCCAGGGTCTCCCGGATGTTCCAGAGTTCTCATACGCTATGCTCTATAGAGCTTCACCTACCCCTCTTGGTTAAACGACGCTACGATCAGAGGGTTGTGCATCCGTCTAGTCAGCGATTACCCTGAGTGTCGTTTCGCAGGATTCCCTGCAGTAGTTACGAAGCGATGGGGAGAACACGGAAGTCTGAAGAGCGCTGCATTGACGCGGCGATACGCGATCGTGTGTTACAGCAAGTAAAGGAAGATGGAGTTGATACCGTGATGCTCCCTTTGAATTTCTCGAACAATCACTGGTGCTGTGTGGTCGTAAAAGTGAAGTCCAAGCGCATTTTCTACTACGATCCTCTTAACCAAGCACAGTACAAGAACGCAGCGAATGACGTGGGGACCTCTCTGAAGATCAGCGGACTCAACGAGTACGACGTGATAACAATGAACAACCCGATCCAGTTCGACGGACACAGCTGTGGTGTGTACGTCTGTTGGATGTTCATTGGGCAGGTCGTAACAGGACGTCACCTGAAAGTGAACATTTGCAACGGGGTACGTAGCCCTAAGTGTACCCTGGTTACATGAAGTGTGACACTTCACACTTCAGGTGTATGACACGTCATACTCCGGGATATTTGGTACAAGTCACCAAGGTCGTTCAAAGTCAACCATTCATCAAACGACATTGCATTTCTATAGGTAACTTATAGTTGGTATTAAACCCAAACTTAACCTACCTATAAATATACTCAGTTTACAATCTACCTTATTTAGGTCACTTCGCTCTCTTTAAATAAAGAGGGGACCTGTGAGCTGCCGTTCACTGAGAGTTTGTATACTCTCGGAAGATGACTTCCTCTAGCGCAAGGTGCTGTGTGACCCCGTCACACTTAATAGCACTCGTAGTCAATCCACGCCACCGCGGGTAGACTACCTGAACCTCTCCAAAGTTCGCTGCCATGGATAGGAACGACTTCTCCCATATGAACGACACTCAGTTCGAGTCGGTTCGGAAGATGGCAGGCATCTTCGGGATGGAGGCCCTGCCGAGCCTGGTGGTGTCAACACCGGCTGAGCAGCTCGAGCGCGTCAATGCATTCGACGCGTACGAGCAGGGCCTCATTGCGCATGTGCGGGAGAACCTGCAGGCTCCGGCGGGGGAAGCGAATCCGCCTCACCCGAAGCCAATACGTCTGAAGGTTAAGCCGTATGAAGGGAAGGAAGGCGAGAACCTTCACTTCTGGGTCCGAGAAGTAGAGCTCGCGATGGACGCGGCTCTGATCTCGACCGAGCAACTGCGTGTTGCCTTTGCACTCTCCAACCTTAGCGGCCGTGCTAAGAGTTGGGTGTACACACGGGAAGCAACATCCCCTGGATGTTTCACATCCGGGGCTCAGCTGTGCGAACAGCTCCGAGCCGCGTTTCTCCCGGCGAGCTACGAGTACCGCCAGCGTTCGCGCTTCCTCTCGTGTAAACAAGGGCGGCGCGAACCGCACGAGTATGTGCAAGAGATACGGGAGCTCACGGCGTCCCTAGTGGGAAACCCACTCAACGAACACATTAAGATGACTGTGTTCATGGACGGCCTTCGAGTGGGCCACGCACGCACTCAGCTGTTCCGGGTGCAGTCAAGCACTCTTGAAGAGGCGATTCAAGTGGCTCTTCAAAAAGAGTACAGCCATCGCCAGGCGCGTACGCCGGCCTCAGCATGGCCTGGGAGTTCTTTGTCGGGTCCCGGCCGAACAAGCCCCAACGAACCAGCTCTAGTGGAACTCGGGTCCGCCGAGCAGCGTGACATCCGCTGCTTCGGCGGCGGGAAGATGGTCCACTTCAAGCGCGACTGTCCTGCGGAAAGACTCCGCAGACGGTCCTTCCCCAAGCCCGTCCTCAAGGGTCGCTGGCAGAAGCCAGGATCCCGGGGACAGGGGAACGATGGGAACCAGTAGGGGCGGGGCGCCCTACTGGGGAAGAACTAAGTCTTCGTGATGGGTGCGCGGGTGGCGCGTACCACGGGGACTTAGCCCCTGAAAGTCTTCGCACTCTCGAATCGGCGAAGAGCAGCGGCGGGTTGCTCGTAGTACACGGATGTGTATGGGGATACGATCATCCCTTTAGAATCTTGATCGATTCTGGGGCGTCGAAGAATTTCGCACGCCGCCAGACGGTTGCTCGCAACAGCAACAAGTTGTCCGATGCTTTGAGAGAAAGCAAATGCAACGGGACGGTGTCAGTGCGACTGGCCGACGGGAAGGTCGTCACTGTCCCCAACGTCCAAGTGGATCTGGCCGTCAAGTTTGAAGTCTTTGACAGCCTCGAACAGTTCACTGTTCTCGATATGGATCCATATGATATGATCCTGGGCATGCCCTGTCGAGCCCTGGATCGACTGGCAAGGCAATCGGTGCCAGCCGCCCTGCGCAGTCCGACAGAGCATTGGTGAGCCATGTTCCCACCTCTGTCAGGACCCGGGGCGCCCGCAAGGGCTGCCAGGGTACCAAAGCATCCGGCAGATGCTTGGGAGTCGTCGACGTATATGATGACTCCGAGGATGTTTTGATGGTGGCCGCGTCTCTTCTGGGCGCTGGCCAAGTGAGTAACTTAGGTCCACAGGCGGGTAGCTTAGTTCCGCAGACAGCTGCAGCTGTCACGAACACTAAGAACAGCGTGTTTAGAGTGGGTAACAGAGCTTCACTCACGGTCGCCCAGATATTAACTGAAGAGGAAGGCGTTGAACATGCTTCCTGTGTGGGTAACACAGTGACACACGCGGTCGCCCAGACCTTAACTGAAGAGAAAGGCGTCGAACACGCTTCCTGTGTGGGTACCACGGTACCACACGAGGCCACGAGTGCCTCGGATGTCGTAGCGCCGACATCCCTAGACGTGGACAGCAAAGCTCGACGTCACGGTCGCCGTCGTCAGCGACGCCGCCGCCGCCTCAAGTCGGATCCGAACTTCGTTTCGATCGACGTCGCTTCAAGCGACTCAGAGGCCAGGGCCAGGGCTCCTCCGACAAGGCCGGTGGAAGAGTGTTATCCCATCTTCGATGACGAGACCGGTTTACCCGTCAAGGCATGTGGTGTCCACTTGGAGCCGTTGCCAGAGGTTGCAGAGATACCGAACCTCGAGGAAATGACGGCTGAGGCTTTCCTGACCAATCTCAAGGCTGGAG